TTGTGTTTTAATAAGAGGGTAAATGTACGAGAAAACCATTTACATATAAATAGCTTACCTATTGCATTGAAATGGAAGAGAAATGAAGTCAAAGTAAAGAAGTTCATCCTCCATTTTGTTCTTTATGCAACAATCTTTACGTGCACAACAAAGGTAATGTCTAAGGATTCAAAAATTCATAGCAACAAAAGGTTCTTTCTACGTTGAGCTTAGGCGCTTAGCATAAGATGGCTGGTCATATAGTTGCTTTCAAATACACTCCAATGCCATAAATATAATAGCAAAAAATGCCATAAAATCCAACAAATGTCCCTTTGTCCCATGGTACTATAAAAGGTGTTCCTGATGCACGACCATGAGGTCCATGGGTTTGTTTGTTTGTGATGAACGATAGGGATGATATTATCGTATAACCCCCTGAGACTCCAATCGTTCCGCTGATAGCATTGATTTCCTCATCCCAAGCAAATGTAACCTGAGCCGCAATGGAAAAATAAAAAATTCAAAGGAAAAGTTAAAGCCAAAATTAGGAAACCAATGGATTTAGAAAACGAGAAAAATATAACAAATGAAACCTCAGACACTTTGTCTCCCCCATTCCAACCACCAGCCTTGTTGGAAGGTTGCTCTATTCCCCTATATTCAGTGGTGAACATGATAGAGTATATTAGATCACCATGATCAATGGTTATCTTCTTCAAATGATGATTTTTCTCAAGTTGGAAAGACCATTGGTTTTGGGGACCTCCAAGAGATTCGGTTCCCCAAATTCCRGTGCGTACAATTTCGAATTCTTCAGAAGAAGCTTTCATATAGACACCAATGGCATCAATATAGTAGCCAGCAAGGTCATAAAATCCACCAAAATTCCCTTTACCCCATGGTACCCAGAAAGGAGTGTCTGTTGCACGACCAAAAGGTCCATGGGTCATCTTGTTCGTAATGAAGGATAGTGATGAAATTATCGTGTAACCACCCGTTACCCCAACCGTTCCATTAATCCCAATTATTTCCTCGTCGTCTTCAAACATAACCTTTCATGCCAATAGAAGTGCATTGTCAAAAAAAAACTAATGCTTTTAACTATAACAAATTTAAGAAAATAAAGAAATGACGTGTGTGATCAGCTTGTTAAGAGCGAGTTTACCTTAGACACTGTGTCTCCACCATTCCACCCACCAGCCTTCTTAGAAGGGTACAAAACACCCTTTGATTCACTAGTGAACATGAGAGAGTATATTAGATCACCATGATCGATTGTTATAAACTTCAGTTTATGATCTTTTTCAAGTAAGAAAGCCCAACGATTTTGGGGACCTCCACTAGATTTAGTTCCCCATACTCCAACCCGGGCAATTTCTGCGATTTTGAGAGAAGCCTTGCAAAGAACGTAAAGAACGAATAAAATAAATAACCGTACAAAGTGAAATATAGAAGTAAGAAGTTATTGGAAATGCTACCTTACACTGTGAAACATGAACTATCATTAATGAAAGCTTACTTGAAGTGAAAATGCATTCTCAAGTTTTTCAATAACTTGAGCCATTGTTGGGCGATCACTTCGATTGCTTTTCAAGCAATGATATGCAATCGTTGAGAATGTGATAAGTGAATTTAACTTCATTTGCTTCCTCAAATTGGGATCAATGATCTCATCCAATTTGTCCTCTTCATACTTTCTTTTAGCCAATGGACCTAAAAACCTTTTTCCATCTTCATATTCTTCGCTGCATGCCAGTCGCCCACACAAGATTTCAAATAATAACACTCCGAATGAATATACGTCTGATTTCTTTGTTAGAACWCYGCTCTTATAATATACTGGATCAAGATAGCCGAAAGTACCACAAGCATTGGTAACTAGAAAAGTGTTCCGTAAATTTGAGGGACCTATCTTAGATAATCCAAAATCCGAT